ACCATGTCCTGGGGAAGAATTTGCCTCCAGCATGAGTGAGCTCCTTGGGGCTCACAAATTTCAAAGAAGGGCCAACTGAGAAATATTCATGCCATGTCCTAGGCAGGTGGCTAGGAGAGAGTCATTGTGTTCAATTCACCAGTTGCAAACAAAGCCTGCCATGTGTTCAGCAAGGTGTCATATATAGGTGGGCGTGGCTTACAAGTGAAACCACGGAGACCATGATTAATAAAGTGTCAGGATGTTGAACACAGAGTAAATGCTACTAGGAGAGGTCAGGGTGAGTGAGGTTCACAAGGAGATGGGCTTGGGCTGGATCCCACAGGATGGGCAGAATTTGAATGGGTGGCGTGGCATTTCCCTTCTAAGCTGTATCATTGCCCCATCTTCCAGCATGCCTGCCTGTAAGGAGTTCTCCTTTCTTACCTCTGGAAGAGGAACTGTGGTTACCCCTGAAACCTAGACATAAGCACCCATGAATTGCCCCTTGGAAAATATCCTTTTTGCCCCAAGGCCACCAAATGCCCTCTTCATCTCCAGTCTTCTTCTCAGTCTCCCAGCCTCCTCTCCCCTTGGCCCTAAGCTGGGGCAGCAGTGGGGGAAGGCATCCATCTTGGACAGGAGACCTTAGGGCTCACCTCTGGGATCCCCAGGGTTACTCTGCTACTGGCCAACTTGTGGCTAACTCTAGGACTTTATGGGCTTGGAGTGGGATGGAATGGGAGGCTTAGGAGCCTGAGAGAACCTCCTATTTCAGGTCATCTGAGGAAGAGGCTGAGTGAGTCTCTTCTGGGTAGTGGTGGGGGAACGAAGGCAGCAGGACACAGGATGGATGAGTAGGGGGAAGGGGCCCTCACTATGGGGTCCCCAGACTGTGTGTTCCAGACTGATGCTTTAGACTTCTGTCAGATCTGACTCCACCTCCACTCTTCATCCCAGCTCCTTCCCTTCATCGCAGCCTCTCCCTTTCTCACCTTCTCTTTTCTGTGCCCATCTGTGGAGCCTCTGACCAGGCCCTGGCTCCTTCTGTAGGCTTCTCCTTCCCATCTCCCTCTTGGCATCTCTAATGCAGCCTCACCAGCCATGCTCTCCCACCTCTGGCTCCACCGCCCCCTCCCCAGCCATCTTCTTTAGGCTGGTGTGGCCACCCAGGGAAGACTGTAGGGTGCATATTGCAGAGGGCTGAAGGCATTGCTGGAGTAAACTGGGATCTCCTTAGGTTCCTGTTGTGGACTGGGCTCAAACCTGGTGGGATATCTGAGTTACTTAGTAGGTTGGATGAGGAAGATGGGGCTGGGACTCCCTCTCAGCTAGTATGGGAGTTTGAGAGAAGGAATAGGGTGGGGGATCCTCTCTTTTGGTTAGCATTCAGTCCAAAAACCAAACTCACACCTTCGAAGTCAATTCCAACTCATAGTGACCCCATTAGGTTTCTGAGGTGGTAAATCTTTATGGAAGTAGATTGCCTGGTCTTCCTTCTGCGGAGTGGCTGGTGGGTTTGAACCACCAACCTTCCAGTTAGCAGTCAGATACCTCAGGTACTACACCACCAGGGCTCCTTTAGCATTTGGTAGAGGCCTCAAATTTCGGGGAGCTCAAGCTGAAGTGGGGGCTACTAGAGTGACAGTAAACCTACCCTCTTTCCTTCCTCACCCCTCCACACTCCCTGCAGCCCCTTCACTCCTATCTCTGCTATCTCTGCAGATGGGACCCAGGTGAGCCCGGGCATTCACTGTCCCAGTCCTCCTGGCACAGGTAAGAGTCAAGCCTGAGGGAGACCATAGGGGAGTGGAAGATGAGGGTTGGAAAGGACACAAGAAAGGGAGAAGCTGAGGGGCTGGAGAAGCAGGGTAGCTGGCTGCTCGGCCAGAGAGTTGGGAGGCTGTAGTCTCAGGGGAAGGAGTGAGGAGTGGGGGACAAGAAAGGCAACTCTGGATCCAGGCTGCTCCCGGTGCTAGGAGCACAACAGGAAAAGGAAAGACAGGGCATTCTTCTGGTCCTTAACTGGGTGTTGTGAAACAGAAAGGAAAGTCGGGAGTTGATATTTATACCCAGACCTTTGCCTCACCTCAGGCACCAGGCCAGGCATGGTCTTGTGTGTTGACTTAGTTAGTCCTCTCACCAGCCCTGCGAGGTGGGCCTGGCAGTTCTGGAGAATGGAAGACTCCCTGTGGTGCTGCTATTGGGTGAGGACCCGCTCACCTTGGTTCTCTCATCCTTCCTCTCCTTGTCTGCCTGCTGGCCTAAGCCTCCTCTGCTAGGGAAGGAAGAACTGGAGTGGCCTTCCTGCTGCTGCTCTGGCCTGGGATTGCCCATGGGGCTAGGCCTGGACTGGATGAAGGGCTGCCCCTTCCTTACCTGCAACAAATATATCTGCTGTAGACCTACTGAGTGCAGGTCCATAGCTTGACACCTAGTAATTGCATACTGAGGGGAGAAATGGAAGTCCAGGTAGCCTCCTTGCTTTAGTACTGGCTTCCCAAAAGCTTACGTACAGATATGCTGAGGAGACAGGACATATAAATGGAAAGAGAACTCGTGATGGAATGCAATATGTAGCAAGTGCCAAATGAGGAACAACTAATGAATGAGTTCATCCATTCATTCAGGAAACATTAAAGCCTATGTACCAGGGTACTGTCCCAGGCATTTCGGGGGATGCAGAGGTTTATTCATTGATTTTACCAGTATTTATTGAGTGCTTGTCATGTGCTGGGGTGATGGGAATAATGAGCAGTGAACAAAATTAAGTCCCTGTCCTACTATGGTGTTTAACTCTGACGTGTTCCCTGCCCACAAGGGGCATGTAGTGCTATGTAATAGCCAACATGATGGAAGTCCAGGAGAGGGAGAGACCCTTGGCACTGGGCTAGGTCTGGGGGAGAGGGAGGGCTCTAGCTGGGCTTTGAAGAAACGGTAGACTTGGAAAATTAGGATGTAGGGGTGAGGACAGCACAGGCAGGGGATGGCATGAGTAAAAGCTCAAAGGACAGAAAGTACATGGTCCAGTGACAGTTCGTGGCTGAAGTAGGGTTTAGGTCCAAATGTAGGAGACCAAACAGAGAGAAGCCAGGCTAGGACCAGACTGTGGAGCCCTTGAGAGGCATTCCTAGGGTTCCAGCCAGAGCCCCTCTCATCTTCTCAGCAGCCTTCGCCTTTGGAGACTGTTCAGTGTTGAAAGTAAGGGATGGGCCACTGCTCGGGAGGAGCTCAGAGTTTATGTATGGCTGAGGTGCTGGCTTTGGGACTGGGTATCCTGGCTTGGCATCCCCTAGGATTCCCTCTTGCATTGATAGGGAGTCCCCTCATCTTCTACTCCCCAGAATAGCAGAATGTGGGGAAGGGTTGTGTTGGTGGGAGAGGCCCAGATTGACAAGAATGAGAATCTGGATTCCTTAGGTGGATGCATGAATAAGGGGTGGGGGCATCAAAACCATACGCTGCCTGCTGGCCCTCTCTGTGGGGCCACACCCCTGTGCACAGCCATTACCTCCAGTCTTTGATATCTGGAGCATTGTGGTGGTCACTGCCTTGCTTGGCTGCTCTCTCGTGGCCATCTCACAGTCACAGAATGTTAGAGTGGGAGCCCCTTAGAGATGTTCTACTGTAAGCCCCTCTTTCTTTGCCCAATGAGAAGCTCCTCCAAGAGGAGGTAACTTCCTGAAAGCCTGTGGCACATTAGACAGTCGATGGACAAACTAGAAGCCATGCTCCTGCCTAGTTGGGTGGCCTTGGACAGACTCTTCTCTGAGCTCGGTTTCCTCATTTGGGATAAGACTAGTAATGCCTAGCTCCCAGGGCAGTATGGGGGCGAGGTGAAAGGCTTTTGTAGATACTCATGCATGTATGCCACAGATGTTAAGGTTGTGATTGGTAATGGTCAGTGGGGCCAGGATGCTGAGCTTCCTGACTCCCTGACTAGTGTCCTTTCTGTATTACCATGATGCCTTTCCAGTCCCCCTCCACCCAGGCCCAAAGGACAGTCTGTGGCTGCACTGTTGGGGGTTGCCCAGCTTTGGAAGAGCTGAAGGTGGCTTCTCCGGCACCTCTCCCAGGCCTTCCTGTTACAGGACAGCTTGCTCCCACCCTCACTTACCCTCCTCTCCAGGAGACTCCCCTGCGGCAGCTCCACCTCTGAGCATCTCACACATCTCCAGCTGCCCAGCCCGGCCTACCCCAGTGAAGTGCACAGGCGTAGAACCTGTTGTGGTAGCTAGTTATAAATAGCCCCTGCACTCACGGCCTTGCCAGGGTGCACCTGGCGTGGGTGCTGAGGACACTTGAGAAGGGGCAGCTGAGCCTGCTGTCCTAATCACACCAGTCCCAGAGCTGGCAAGAAGGGCACCTGTGTGGGCCCAGTGAGCTGAAGAACCTGCTCGGCAAACAAGGCTCAGCAGGCCCAGTGTTGTAGGTCAGGGCGGCTATAGGTTTAAGGCATCACTTCTTTATCCCGTGACCCAGAATATGAGAGGGTGGGAACTCAGAGAGGGCCCATGAAGGTTGGAGATGGCACAAAGTAGGACTATTTGCCTGCCCAGTGGCTTCCTTTGAGCCCAGCTAAGCCGAATCCAGCCATTCCAAGGGCAGGGAGATGGCAGAGCCCTGAGTGAATGTGGTTGGGCTGTAGCCCATCACTAAATCCCTCACCAGGTAAAGCTCTCAGCCCCAGGTCTGGGAGGCAACCTATTTAGTGGGAAACACTGTGCTTGGAGACTGGAGACTGAATTCAATCAAACACCACCAGTGACAGGCTCTAGTTGTGTGCCATCCGTATGGCCTCCTTTTCTCATGGGTAAAATGGAATTGATAATACCTCCCTTGTAGGACCAGGGTGAGGATTAAATGAGAAGACTGTCAGGGTGTCTTGCCACTGTTGAGTGAGCCTGAAGGAGGCTGTAACCATGCACCTTGTACATAAAATTTCCGGCTGACTTGCCCTCTCTCTGTCCACAGGCCACCTCACGCTCCGCTCAGACACGCCAGGCCCTCAGCCCCAGCCCATGGATCTGCGGGTGGGCCAGCGGCCCCCAGTGGAGCCCACCCCAGAGCCCACACTGCTGGCCCTGCAGCACTCGCAGCGTCTGCACCATCACCTCTTCCTAGCAGGCCTGCAACAGCAGCGCTCGGCGGAGCCCCTGAGGGTAAAGACAGATGCCCTGCACACTGCCCAAGCCCCACCCCTCCCTGCAGCCTTCCTGAACCCTAGTCTCATCCCTTCAACTCCTTGCCCCCTCCTGGGATGCCAGCTCTGTCCACAGCTCTCCATGGACACGCCGATGCCCGAGTTGCAGGTGGGGCAGCAGGAGCAAGAACTGCGACAACTTCTCAATAAGGATAAGAGCAAGCGGAGTAAGGATGGCAGCCGTGTGCATGGTGGGGTGGGGGTGGGGTGGGGGGGTCACAGTGTGCTGTACACCAGCCACCAGGTCTCCCTTTGCCTGCGGGGCTATGCTTGTGAAGTAGGTGTGAGCTTCACAGGAGGGGTGGCATCTCTGGCTTGACTCTTGCCTGGGGAGGCCCTGGGACACCATGTACTGGGGGTGTGGACAGGGCAATGGGCAGAGGATGTGCCAGGAAGCCAGCCATTCCGCCCACCCCAAGCTGCTCGTGATTATCCCCCCTGCAGGTGCCATAGCCAGCAGTGTGGTTAAGCAGAAGCTGGCAGAGGTGATTCTGAAGAAACAGCAGGCAGCTCTAGAGAGAACAGTCCATCCCAGTAGCCCCAGCATTCCCTACAGGTACCCCCTCTTCCCTCCTGCTCTCTCATGTCCCACCATGCCCCTTCCTCCCTGTAGATACCTGTGAACACACACACACTCCCTCCCTTTGCCTCCGAAGATGTTCATCACCCACCCTTCCCCTTTGCCTCTAATTATAATGCCCTTAACCCCTCTCCTGGGAGCTCTGGTAGCGTAGTGCCTGAGGCACTTGACTGCTAATCAGAAGGCCAGCAGTTTAAACCCACCAGCCACTCCTCAGAAGGAAGATGGGGCAATCTACTTCCATAGCGATACTGCCTCAGAAACCCAAGGAGGGGTCGCTATGAGTCGGGTCCGACTTGACGGCACATAACAACAACAACAACCCCTCTCCAACTGACAGCAGCCCTTTTTCCCTTTCCCACCCCAGTGAGGCCTTCCTCCCTATGCTCGTGCACACATATCCAATGGCTGACCTTTTTCCATGCCTTCCCCTAAACATAAAAATGTCCTGGTTCCTAGAGTGAGTTCCCATCCTAGGAGAGGAACAGAGTCCCTGCCGTGTCTCACACCCCACTGAGGCTCCCCAACCTAGCCCCTGACCTCTATGCCTAGAGCAGAGATCTGTAGATTGTGCTGCTGGGTGGAGTGGGTGGCCCACTGCTGCCACCTGGAGCTTTCCATTCCTGCTGGCCTCATACTGCCCAGCCCTGTCCACTGCTACCCCTCTGGCAGAAACAGTGGCTATGGAGGCAGGTCCCCAGGGTCCAGGCTCAGGAAGGAACCAATCCCAGAAAAGAATAGGCACCCTGGTTCTGAAGGTGTCTGTGCAGAGTGAGGTGGACTTCTCACCCTCTGAAGCAGCCTTGGCACTCACTCCACAGAACTCTCGAGTCTTTGGAGACAGAAGGAGCCACCCGCACCATGCTTAGCAGTTTCCTGCCTCCTGTTCCCAGCCTGCCTAGTGACCCCCCAGAGCACTTCCCTCTGCGTAAGACAGGTGAGCAGGACAGATAGCCAGGGGAGCTAAGGGGAAGGGGAAGGGCTTTGGACAGCAGATCAGGTGTATGGAGGGGTAGAGGGCTGGGCTGGGCCTGGGAAAGGCCAACATGCTGTGGTTTTTCTCTATAGCTCTGCCTTCATTTGCCTTAACCCAGAAGTGGTGACTGGGCATGAGGGGCTAAAGGGTGGAGGAGAGAAGGGTGGAGCCTGAATAACACTGGTGTTCCCTACAGTCTCTGAGCCCAACCTGAAGCTGCGCTACAAGCCCAAGAAGTCCCTGGAGCGGAGGAAGAATCCGCTTCTCCGGAAGGAGAGTGCCCCGCCCAGTCTGCGGAGGCGGCCAGCAGAGACCCTTGGGGGTGAGGGCCAACAGGGTGGCCAAGGGGGACATCCTCAAAGCTGGGTGGTCTTGTTCCTTTGGGTCCATTCCCTCTGCTCCCCCAGACAGGGGTCTCCTCCTCCGGGCTGTGTGTGATTGTATAGGGTGTGGCCAACACAAAGCCTCTTGGCCAGAGGGCTGGGGTAGGCCTAAAACACAGCCATGCTCTGTGACTAAGCTGACAGCTGCCTGGGAGAAAGGGCACCTTTTCAAAAACTGTCCAGAGGTGATGGGGGTCTGGTTTCCTCCTGCCCTTCTGGGAAGAAAGCAGGAAGCAGAGGCTGCCCATGAGGGCAGGGGGCTTATTCCAGGGTGTTTGGGACCAGGGGGCTGGCTTTGTCCTCTTGGTTGTCTCTGGCCTTTGATTGTACATCCTCGTCTCCCCAACCCCCAGACTCTTCCCCCAGTAGCAGCAGTACACCCGCGTCAGGGTGCAGCTCCCCCAACGACAGTGAGCACGGCCCCAACCCTGTCCTGGGCTCCGAGGTAAGGCCTGGCCAGGTCTAGGTTCCCTGGGATAGATCTGAGGCTCATCTCTGCTTCGCAGCCCCAACTCAAGCCTCTGGGGCATCTGGGGAAAGCGTGCCCAGGGGTAGCAGTCCGGGAGCAGTGACCCCTCACCCTGCTCCCCATGGCAGGCGCTCTTGGGCCAGCGGCTGCGGCTGCAGGAGACCTCTCTGGCTCCGTTCGCCTTGCCAACAGTGTCCTTGCTGCCCACAATCACACTGGGGCTGCCCACCCCTGCCAGGGTGAGTGGCTGGGGTGCCCCTCCCTCCACTCCAGGCTCCTGCAGCTTTGTCACCTCCATCCAACTCACTCCCTTCCTCACCACCTGTCTCCACTCACCTTTACTGCTGTCCTTCCTGCTCTGTCCTCCCCTGTGACGGCTTCTCACCTCTCCCCCAGGCTGATGGGGACCGCAGGACTCATCCCACTCTGGGTCCTCGGGGGCCAGTCCTGGGGAACCCCCATGCTCCCCTCTTCCTGCCCCCTGGCCTGGAGCCCGAGGTTGGGGGCACCTTGCCCTCACGCCTACAGCCCATTCTCCTCCTGGACCCCTCAGTCTCTCATGCTCCGTTGCTGACTGGTGAGTCCCCCTGCTCCTCGGTGAAGGGGCTGGGTCCCCGAACCTTGCTAAGGGCCCAGCTTGGGGAGGGACCTGTCCTTCTTGCCTGCTCTCCAACCCCCTGCCCTCCTGGGCACCTCCCTGCTCTGTCCCTTCACCACCACCCCATGCCTTTGCTCCATTGCTCCCTAGGGTTCCCTCCTTATGGCCCACCCCATTCTTTCCAGTGCCCGGGCTTGGGCCCCTGCCCTTCCACTTGGCCCAGTCCTTACTGACCACCGAGCGGCTCTCCGGGTCAGGCCTCCACCGGCCACTGAGCCGGACCCGCTCAGAGCCCTTGCCCCCCAGCACCACCGCTCCCCCACCGCTGGGCCCCCTGCAGCCCCGCCTGGAGAGGCTCAAACCTCACGTCCAGCTGATCAAGGTGAGGAAAACTGGTAGGGGAGTTGGCAAGGGGGTGCCTAACTAGGCTTCTGGCAGCTGAAAGAGGAAGAAGGGTCTCAGGGAGGGCATGGCCCTAGAGGGCAACCAAGAGGATGTGGCTGTGGGGTCAAAGATGCGCAGTGGCCTAGCCCAGTCCACTGCCTTCCACCCTGCACCCCTCACTCCAGCATGGCTGCTCAGCCCAGGCATCTCCCTTCCCCAGAGGCCAGCCAAGCCCAGCGAGAAGCCCCGACTGCGACAGATACCCTCGGCTGAGGACCTAGAGACAGATGGCGGGGGTGTGGGGCAGGTGGGGGACGACAGCCTGGAACGCAGCAACTGCCAAGGGCAGCCGGACTCCAGAGGCCCCTTTCCTCTCCAGCAGCACCAGCAGGTATGGGAGTGGCCATATGCCCCTTAGAGTGCGTAGTTAGAAGAAGGAGGGCCTGGGAAAACGTGGGAAGGGAAGGAGGTGTGACGTAAGTACAAGGACAACTCCAGGACCATGATTGCCCAGTACAGATCATTGTATGCCACATCCACACCAAGGTGCACACACATATATATGCACACATGTCTATATACCCACCCCCACACAACCACACATGGACATGCACTGCAAATGCACATGCACACATACATGCACACTCCAGCAGCCTGACAGTCTCAGGGTGAAGCCATGTCTGTTTTCCAGCAGGGAGGCTCGCCTTTCATGGAATCATCTACACTCCTGCCCTAGCACTTCTCCCCTGTATGTAGAGCAAGGGTGGGATAGAGCCAGGCTCAGGCACTTCAGCCCCATAGTGCTCTCCCTGTGCGAGTCAAGCCAGGCAGCAGTTCACACTCATGCAGCAGCTCATGCAGGTCCCCACATTCTTGGCAAGTTGCAGTCCTTGGAGGTGAGATCCTGGTCTGAGCTGGGCCTTAAGATCCCTTGCCTGGGCTCTTTCTTTGGAGACACACAGGCCCAAGGAGGTCCAGTGGACCTGGGTGATCAGTCTTCAGTACAGGCCTTTGAGGGCAGGTGGGCGCAGGGACTGCAAAGAATCACAGCAGTGAGGCAGGGCCTCCTGGAATCTCACTGAGAAAAGGAGCCTGCCTGGAAGTTGTCAGAACTGTAGGCAGAAGCTGATGGAGCGGGAGCCTGAGATACTGGCCGCTGAGGCTCCCTGTCCCCCTCAGGTGTTCCTCTGGGAGCAACAACAACGACTGGCGGGGCGGCTTCCCCGGGGAGGCCCTGGAGACTCTCTGCTGCTTCCCCTGGCCCAGGGTGGACACCGGCCCCTGTCCAGGGCTCAATCTTCCCCAGCCGCACCTGCCTCACTGCCAGCCCCAGAGCCTGCTAGCCAGGCTCGTGTCCTTCCCAGCTCTGAGACCCCCGCTAGGACCCTGCCCTTCACCACAGGTAAGACCAGCATTAAGTGAGGGGCCAGGGATCAACAGAGGGCTCAGGGGTGTGAGACTCTGTATCACGGTGTCACTCAGGACATTCTTAGCATACTTTCTGAGTCTTGTTCGATCCACACAACATCCCATGAAGTAGGTAGATAGGTGGTAGTTCTTTTACAGATGAAGAAACTAAGGTTCAGGAGATGTAGGTGGCCAGCTTGTGGTCATATGGCAAGCTGGTGGTCAGGCCAGGTACTTTGGGTCTCCTGACAATGATTTCAGTACTTTAAAAATGGTATTGCTTGTTTTTCTGATTGTAAAAATAATAGTTCAAAAGTGTAATAGAAATTTTGAAGAACACTGAAAAGCATAAAATAAAAAATCATCAACCAGTGCCCGCCCCCCAGAGATAACCCCTCTTAAAGTTTGCTGTATTTCAGTGCATTCTTTGCTCCAGCCATATGTGCATGTACAAATACTATATCCACATAACTACATTTTATATACTATTATGAACAATTCTTGATGTAATTAGCCCTCACAAAGGTGAGTTTCTGGTATTTTTATACATTATGTTATTTTTACCTAAATATTTCTTGTTAATGGGACATTTAAATTGCTCCTGACTGTTCTTCCCTTAACTTACTTAACATAAATGTATACTCATCCTTGGTATTATTTCCCAAGGATTAGTTTTAAGGAATGATGTTTCTGGGTCAAGTGGTCTGAGCATCTTGAAGGTTCTTGGTATCCTGCTATGACATGAAACTGGCCCAAAGAGATCAGAGCTCCGACACCCCACCCCACAGTGCTCAGCAGCCTCCGCAAGTGGTGTCTCCGCACTTTGTGCAGCTACAGGTCGGGCAGAAAGAGTCACTGCCCAGGAGCTACCTTTGTCTTATCACATGGGCCAGTGTCATTATAGCGCTTCCCAGCTCCCAGTTTTGGGGTTTCCTAGGAATTCTTTCTCCTCCTGCTGCTTCAGGTGGCCTCTATGGGGTCATGGCTGCCAGGGTAAGACCCCTGATATTAGGACTCACTTTCTGAACACTTGAGGCCAGACTAGATGTGTTGGGTCACATGCAGAGTGTCATTATGTCAGGAAGGCAGTGACTGTGTGGTGTCATGTTGGCTGACTCAGTGCTGGTGTGTGCATGAGGTTGTCTGAGGCCCCCTGAGTCAGCATTAGGGGTACTTGTACGTGTGGGAAGGACCGTGGCTGGGACGGTAGGCTGGGGGGTGTGTGTGGGACTGTGCAGTATGAGGGGGGTCTGCTGTGCCTGACTTCATGGGGGGTTCTGCCTGTGGGGGTGCTGGTGGGTACTCTGTCCACAGCTGACGGCTGAGCAGGCAGGGACCCCTTTCCTGACAGGGCTGGTCTATGACTCGGTCATGCTGAAACACCAGTGCTCCTGTGGAGACAATAGCAGGCACCCGGAGCATGCTGGCCGTATCCAGAGCATCTGGTCCCGGCTGCAGGAGCGGGGGCTCAGGAGCCAGTGTGAGGTGAGGAAGCAGATGGGGCTATAGCATCTGAGAGGAGAGGAATTAGAGACGAAGGGGAGGAGGCTCAGGAGCCAATGTGAGGTGAGGCCGTGGGTGAGAGGACAGGCAGTACTGCAGAGATGGAGGGGAGCTGATGAAAGGGAAGGGGTAGGAGGCTTGGGAGCCGATGTGAGGTGAGGGGACATGTGGAATCAGTGATAATGGACTGGAAGGGCATGAGAATGGGCTTAGGAGTTTGTGGACCCTCACTGTGCCCCTTAGTGTCTCCGGGGCCGGAAGGCCTCCCTGGAGGAGCTGCAGTCAGTCCACTCGGAGAGGCATGTGCTACTCTATGGCACCAACCCGCTCAGCCGCCTCAAACTGGACAACGGGAAGCTGGCAGGTAGGACCCGGTGCTGCTTGCTGTTCCCCCAGGTCCAGCTAAGGTCCAGCTCTGTGCCCTCATTCCAGCCTTCCAGCATTCTGGCTTCCCCTGTCCCCTCTGTGGTCCCCTCCTCCTTGCCCCTACCCTGTTTCCTCTCCTTGTACCCCTGCCCAGGCTCTCTTATCAGGGCCTCCAGCTCTTGCTACACTAGAGGCTAAGTGGACTCACACTCACATGGCTGGCTGGCCTCTCCCCACAGGGCTCCTGGCACAGCGGATGTTTGTGATGCTGCCCTGTGGTGGGGTTGGGGTAAGTGTGCCCGGGAGTCCCGAATGAGCATTGCCAAGGGCTCTCTGAGCTCCTCCCTTCTGTTCTCCAGCCCAGCCCCTGCCTTCTTGTTCTTGGGATTCTGCTAGACTAGGTGGGCCAGGGATTTCCCACAATGCCCACTGCTAGCTGGAAGCCCTGCTGGCGTATGAGCTCCTGTGGACAGTCTGTCCTTGACCCATTAGCATCTCCCGAGTGTGGAACCCAGAGCCTCTCACTTAGAAGGTGTTTCATAATGTTGAGTAAGAATAAATTTGAGCCTCAAAAGCAGAGCCAAGATTGGGGTCTGGGATCATCTCCCTTTGTAAGACCCCTCTGTATGGGTGCCGGCCATGCCACATGCCCCAGATAGCTTTGCCTGCCCTAGAGGGTACCTCCTGGAGCTGCCTCAGGGCTGTTCTCAGCGTCTCTCTGCCCAGATTGGGGCTGTGATGGTATTTCCGGTGGCCTTAGCAAGCTGGCACTTCCCTGCCCCGGTACATAGCCCTTCACCACCCGGCTTTGCTTCCTCACTCCTTACTCTGTTTGGGGAGCTTTCTGCCTCCTCTGGCAGTGCTTTCCTTGCCTAAAAGGTCCCTGTAGTGGTGTCCCCAGTGAGGTGTGGAGGCAGGGGATGGAGTCTAGTTCTGGAGGGAAAATGGGAGCTGTAACTGGTGGGAGGACTGTTTGGGAGCCAGCCAGTGCCCAATTCACAACTTCCCATTTCTTGCCACTTTCTGATTTTTCCAACTGTTGTTGCTTCTGTTTTCTCCTCCCTCCTCTCCCTCTCTGTCTTTCTCTCTCTCTCTCTTTCTCCAGCCTCTTGAGACTCTCTCTGCCTTCCTCGCCTCTCTTGGTCCGCCTCGCCCTCCCCATCTCCCCACCATGCCCCCCGGCCCCTCCCTAGCCTTGAGGCCCAGGGACTGGGTTTGGGGGGCCTCCCAGCCTGGGCTAGGGGCCCTGAGTGGAAGACAGTGGTGCAGACGGCCCCTCCAGCTCCGACCATCCCGCAGGGCCTGAGCAGAGTCAGCTGGGGCTTAAAACCCCCTCCCGGCCCAAACCCCAAGTCCCGCCCAGGTAACGCCATGCCCCCTCCCCCGAGTGGGGAGGCAGGTGTGATGCTGCCGGCAGAGTGCTGGCCAGATAAGGGCTGGTGCTGGGACTGAGGCTGGGAAGGAGCCATGCCGGGATTGGGGGACACAGGAGGCCTTGCCTTGGGGCGGTGGGGCACTGGGGAGGCAGCACCGTCTGCCCAGCTCCCTGCCCCTGGGGTCCTGGCCATGGGGTGGGCACTGCACCGTGGGCCCTGACACCTGTGGGAGGCCCTGGATGATGCGGGCCCTGATTCTGGCCCCACAGGTGGACACTGATACCATCTGGAATGAGCTGCACTCCTCCAATGCAGCCCGCTGGGCCGCAGGCAGCGTCACAGACCTCGCCTTCAAAGTGGCTTCCCGTGAGCTAAAGGTAAGAGGTTGGGGTGGAAGTGGCCAGCCTACCAAGGAGGCAGCAGGATAGGGCAGTGGAAGGCCAGGCCCAGCACAGGCCCAGACAAGGCTGTCTATGGCCCAACTCTTGTTCCTCTTGGATACGACCTAGTTTTAGAAAGAAAAGTGAGGGCTCTAGGACCAGGATGAGATTTGAACCCTAGGCTCATGCTGCTTGGTGGGAGTCAAGCCATTGTGACCTTGGACCCTTGGTCTCTAAGATGTACAGAGTCGTGCTTATCTAAGGCAAGTACAGACCTCAGGCATTGGTCAATCGGGTCTTCCCAGTGCTGAGTTAATATAAGCCAGGTTGGTGCCCATGTTCAGTTGCTCTGGACTGGGTACCTTATGGGGACTTGTCCTGAGGTCTACTGTCAGAAGCCCTGTTGTTCAGAAGCTTATAGCCTGAAGTGGTCAGTATGTCCTAAACGCCACAGCACCTTGGCGGAGCTTTGCAGTTAAGAACACAGCCATGATAGCAACCGAGAAAAGTCAGATAGGAAACTTAAGGGGCAAAGAGTTTATGTTAATGGAGAAGGCACAATTCAGAATAGGAGGGTGAGAATGGTTATACAATTTGAAGAATGTATTCGGTGTCACTGGGTTGTACATGTAGAAATTGTTGAACTGGGGTGTGTTCTGCTGTGTGCTTTCTCAGCCACAAAATTAATTATTCAAAAAAAAAAAAAAAAAAAATACAGCTTTGCTTTTAAAATCCTGGCATCACCATGAACAAGCAGGAGACTTCAGGCTAGTTGCTTGACCCACCAAAGCTTTAGATTTCCCCTTACCTATAAACTGTAGATCATCATAATGTTTACCTCACAGAGATGGTGTGCGGGTTAGATCACACTTACCTTATAGAGCTGTTGAGGGGATGAAACCCAGTGTTTCAAAACTGCTTAGCACAGTGCCAGGCATGTACTTGTTGCTCAATAAATAGTAGCTATTGTTGCTACAGAGTCATAGCAGGACCCACTGTGGCCAGGTCTGTGTGCATGTCTGGCCTGAAAGCAAAGGAGAGCAGCACAAAGAGTGGGGCCAAGTGGTAGGCACTTCACATCCAGCCTGAGGACAGTCAGACATGCCAGCAGCTGTTGCTCCTTCCCAGTGGAGGTGTCGGGGGTGGCAGTGGGTTCCCACAGATGTGGGTCAGAGGACTGGCTGTTTGACAAGTGTTCTTTCTGTTTCCAGAATGGTTTTGCTGTGGTACGCCCCCCAGGACACCATGCAGACCATTCCACAGCCATGTAAGGCCTGGGGGAGGGTTGGTAGGACCAAGAGTGGGTCTGGATAGAGTGGGTGGCAGACCCCTCCTTCCCCTGAGCCTTCTTCTAAAGCTGGAGAGGTGAGGGCGTTAGGAAGGAATCGCCTAGCAGGAACTCTCTCTCCTACTTGCAGGGGCTTTTGCTTCTTCAACTCAGTGGCCATAGCCTGCCGACAGCTGCAACAACAGGGCAAGGCCAGCAAGATCCTGATTGTGGACTGGGTAGGTCTTAGTTCCCAGCTCCATTAGAGCAGAGAGCCATGTGGGAAGAGACCTGAGCCTGGTGTCAGAAGATGTGGCTCAGGTCCTAGTTCTGTATTAGCCTCTCCCAAGCCTCAGTTTCTCTGGTGGAAAATGAGGTTGGCGATACCACTCAACTCAGAGGGCTGTTGAGAGGCCGGCAGGAGATGGTATGTGGGAAGGAGCTCCCACAATAGACATGCATTCTCATTTGAGTTGTCTTTTGGCCTCTGTTGGCTTCTTTCAGCCAACCTGGTAATTCTTGCATTTCCCGTACAGGTAGTAATAATAACAATAGTAGCAGACAACATCAATATAGCACTAATCACATCTAGATACTAATGGTTTTACATATGCTATAATGTATTTAAGAGCTCTGGTGGTACAGTGGTTAAAGCATTTGGCTGCTAACTAAAAAGATGGCAGTTCAAACCCACCAGACACTTCATAGGAGAAAGATGAGGCAGTCTGCTTCCATAAAGATTTACAGCCTTGGAAACCCTATGGGGCAGTTCTACTGTGCCCTCTAGGTTTACTATGAGTCAGAATCAACTTGATGGCAGTGAATGTGTACTGTATTTAATCCTGACTATAATCCAGACCATAACCTATTTTACGGATGAGAAAACTGAGCACAGAGAGATTAATTAACTTGCACACAGTCACATATCTAGGGAGTGGTGAGAAGGGGATTTGAACCTAGCAGGTTAGCTCTAGAGTACATGCGAGAATACATGCATTTAACTACTAAGCTATATCACTTCTGTGTTGACAGCTGTGAATGGGACATTTCTAAGCAGAAGTTGAGATTAGTAGAGGAACTTTCCACACTGGAGTCCATAGGTGGTCTTGGGAATGGCTGAGTGTAGAGCTACAGCTCTTCCTAGGAACCTCAGAATTGTCACCAGCCTTTCTAACCTGTCCGGCCTCTATGTCACTGCTTTTGGACCTTCCCTTATGTACCACCCATTTCCCTGCATAGGATGTTCACCATGGTAACGGCACTCAGCAGACCTTCTACCAGGACCCCAGTGTGCTCTACATCTCTCTGCATCGCCATGATGATGGCAACTTCTTCCCAGGCAGTGGAGCTGCGGATGAGGTAGCTGCGTGGCGGGTCCACATCTCCCAGCCCCATTGACTCTCCCTCCTGACACTCCCATGGCTTCTGTCGTGACTAGCTGTGTGATCCTGGACAGGCTGTAGTCTCTCTGATCTTCAGGTTCCCCATCTAGAAAGTAAAGAGGCTGGACAAGCTGGTCTTGTGGTGCTAACATTTTGGGATTCCTCTTCTAGAATCTGCTCTCTTCATGTCTCTCCTGCTTCTTATTTTCTAGGTGGGGGCTGGCAGTGGTGAGGGCTTCAACGTCAATGTGGCCTGGGCCGGAGGTCTGGACCCTCCCATGGGAGACCCTGAATACCTGGCTGCCTTTAGGTAAGTGCTCTGGGGGTCCAGAGGTGGCCGGACTCGGTAAGGCCTCCCTTTCCTTCCCCTTCTCCCAAAAGCACCAGGTTGGAGGTGACCAGTTGGGTTGTTAGCCTGTCTCAAACCAATGGCTAGACACTAGGATAGCCCAGGGGTGGGGAGAGGTACAGTGACTGGCCTCTAGGGATTTTCAGTTCTGATGGGAAGACAAGACACCAGAGTGAAAAAGTCAAAGGATGTTTTATTAAGTCACACATTACCAAGAGCCAGTGTAGAACTGAATTCCATGAGTCAGGCAGGGTGGAGGGGTCAGAGCTGCCACATCTAGTCCAAGGAAGCTGCTTGGAGGGGGTGGGCTTTGAGCAAGAGATGAGGGACTTAAACTGATGAAGAAAGAGGGAGAGCAGATGCTGTCCACCTGGAGCTCACAGGTGGTCTTGGGAGTGACTCTTCCTAGAAGGGCTGAACTAGCCATTCTAAAAAATCCTTTCTGAAGAGGGGCTTTGGGCTCTGTTCAGGACTTTCACCCTGGACTCCCTGCATGCCATTTGGGGAAAAAGAATCCTTGAAATAGGTCTCCTTATGCTTTTTGAGACTTATTCTCTATGAGACCCCATTCTGCAGGAGCCCCAGGCTGGGGTCCTCAGCTTCTTTGTGCCCAGAGCACAAGATCCTATGGGACACCAAAAGGGACCACAGGGTTGGGTTGGGGATGGAAGGAAGCAGCTATGGGGGAAGGCAAAGGGAGAGGATGAAAGAATGGAGTTAGGTGGCCTGGGACCTCAGAGGGTCTAGTTAACCCAGTCAGCTCTTATTTGGTGAGTGGTAGGGTATGGTCAATTCAGTCCAAGGTGAGCAGCAGCTAAGTGCCAAGAATTTTGTCCCAGAGGCTTAGTGACCAGAGCCCAGCTTGGCCGGCTGTGAGATTGTCCCTGCTTGGTGGCCCTGCCTACTGCATCCCACAGGCACATGCATGAGATACACACTCACACATACACTTGTTCTCACACATATACTCACTCATACTCACACATACATAACACACACATACACGCACTCATACTCATTTGCTCTGATGTCCGTTCTTGGCTCCTTTCTGCCTTTTACTAGTTAAGTGCCCTGGGCGGCTGAGTCCTCACGCTGTGCCAGGGACACACATGGGTGGCCAGCCAGGTGAAGGAGGTCAGAGAGACCCTGCTGGGGAGGTTCGTGTCTTGGAGTCCTAAGAGCAGGGTGCCCCACAGAAAAGCTTGTGGGAGAGGGCCAGCCAGGTATGTGCCAGGCAGCCCTGACAGTGCTGCGAACTCCCTCTTCACGTCCTCACAGGAGAGTTGTGATGCCCATCGCCCGAGAGTTCTCTCCTGACCTGGTCCTGGTGTCGGCTGGGTTTGATGCTGCCGAGGGTCACCTGCCCCCACTGGGTGGCTACCATGTGTCTGCCAAATGTAAGGAGGGCCCAGCCCAGGGCGGGGTAGGGAATGAGTGCTGGGCTGGGGTGGGAGGTGCTGCCAAGTCTAAATAGGAAGGTGGCAGTGGCCGGCCCAGGTCCAGGAGTGTGAAGAGCAGGGTATGGCCACTGGTCCTGGAATTTCCTGGGATCTCTTAGCCTAGTATAGCCCAGGGCCCTTCTTGTGACCATGTCAGCTCACCATGGAGGCCTGAGCTGATCAGACCCCTGAGGACTTGAGTTCATCTGACCTCAGACAGGAAGCTCAGCCATAGAACCCTCAGCCCCTATTGTGCTGATCCTAGGCTGGGTTGGCAGCTTCTCCAGAGGAAGTGTGAGGGGGAACAATATTCCAAGAACAGAGAGAGCCCACTCAGCCCCCCGGGGCCTCAGGGCCTTGAAGACAGAGGAGATGGTGTGGCTTAGTGACAAAGACCAGCTGGAATTTCTGCTCCAGTTCCAGTCCTCACCCTGCCACTTACTAGCAGTGTGTGGGACCTTGCACAAGTCCCTTACCTTCTCAGCCTTCAGTGAGGCATGTTATTGTTGTTGGGTGCCATCCAGTCAGTTTAGATTCATAGCAACACCATGTGAGAGAGTAGCACCACCCCATAGGGTTTCTCCCTTTATGGGAGGAGATCAGCAGGTCTTTCTCTCATGGAACAGCTGGGTGGGTTCCAACTGCTAATCTTTCGATTAGCAGCCAAGCACTTAACTGTTGCACCACTAGGGCTCCTCTGAATGAGGCATACTGCCAGGTTTTGCTGGGACTCAATGGGAAAGCATTTGAGTCATTATTTA